GTTGCTCAAAAATGTTAGGTGACCCTAGAAATACATAAGCAATGCTAACTGTCCCCAGCACTTTGCATCTGGCACATAGAAGTTGCTCAAAAATGTTAGGTGACCCTAGAAATACATAAGCAATGCTAGCCTTTCCTCTCATTCCTTACATCTCTGACCTTCCAAATCCTGAGAGACCTCGGTCAAGGCCAGAGGTGCAAACGGGTCTCCTGTATGGTGTCTCAGCACATGAACAGGCTCTGTTAGGATATTCCCCACCCTTAGTGTTCCTGTAATATTCTTATATTGATTTAGAAAAATAAAATCCCAAACAAACATTCTGCATGAAGGTGGAACCCTCCGACTTCCAGGAGGCTGGTAGCCAACTGCAGACACTGGCGTTTTGTAGGAGTTTATAAATGTTGGGCAAAGAGCCATTGTGGGGGTACAGATCTGTAATCCAAGCACTTGTGACTGCACAGGCAAGAGGAGCACAAGTTCAAAGCCAGCCTGAGCATCTTAGCCTGTCCCTGTTCTGAACTGAGAAGTACCAAGGAGAGCTAGGAACTCAGCTCCACAGTGCAGCTCCACGGTGCAGCTCCACAGAGGCCTAGCAAGCACACCTGCACACAATCTGCAATACTGTAGATGAGGGGAACAATAAAAAGCAGAGGGCATCCAGAATAGAGTAATCCCAACTGGCTCTACCTTGAAGGGCTCTGAGGCCTGCTAGGCCCCTCTCTATCATCAGCAAGGGTGGGCGGGCTTACTGGGTCCTTCTAAGCTGCAAAGCCAGGAGGGCTTGTAGGGAAAGGACCAGAAAAGAAAGCGTAAACAGGGCAGGCTCCAGCCTGTCTCCCTCCTCCTGCACTCTGCAGAGAACAGAGGGCCTGCAGCCTCACCCTGGAGGCAGAGGGTTCCTCTTAGCAGGAAAGCATCAGGCCATACCTCCAAGGAATCCTGGCCTCTGGTGCATGCTGGACTAGAGGGAGCAGGGGCATGAAGGGCAGGAACAGTAGGGGAGACTGCAGGTGCCCTGGTGAGCCTCATCCAAACCTCTTATCCCTACAGATGTTTTTCTCCTGTCCTGTACCTCAAAGGTCCTGGGAGTGTGGAGCCTTCCTTTGAAAGGAGCCGCTCTCCTGCAGTGTAGAGAGCCCTGCTGACTGCAGTCTGCTGTGTAATGCTGGTTCTCAGACCTCACAGAGGTCAGTACGTGGTGATGGTGCGGCCTCTGGAACCAGCGCAGGCTTGGCTACTGGAGACTCACCCCATCTCCATTTCTGTCTGTACTGCTTTCCCCAGGCTCAGTAGCGAAAGCCTTGCAGGGAAGTTCCTTCAAGAAGGACTGAAGAGAAGGTGCAAGCCCTTGGCCACGGTTCAGGTGGGTGTCCTGCGGTCCTGGTGGGAGTCCACACAGACAGGGTGGGTACTCATGACACTACTTGTCCTTCCGCTGGCTCCATAGATAGAGTCCGCCCTAAGATGAGTGACATCAGTCTCATCTGTTGCTATGGTTGCCTCCGTGCCTACCTCTGAGCATCTGGTAACACATGATGAACTTCCCTTTTGCTACCCGAGAGGCCATAAAGGACAAAGCAACCTTTTCTATGTGACACGTGGTTATGACTTTAAAAAAGTATATCATATTCTACCCTCATCTCTCCCCAATCACTGCTCCTGTCAACTGAGTGCCCAGCTTCTTAATCTACCCCCCAAGGTGGCCTGTTCCCAGACCACTCACCTACTACCCCTTGAATCTCACTTTCTGGTTTGATTGATTCTGCTCTTAAAATGTGAAGGTCATAACTGAAGGCTGTAGACTCGAGACGACCCTGACCAAGTGAGCAGGGCTGCCATCACTTTATTATTTGGTCTCATCTTCCTTCCTACACACTCAGCTACATCCCTAGAGGTGGTGTGCATGTGTGCACGTCTGTGTGTGTCTGGTTTGAACTAAAGACTTTGAACATGCAAGCCGACCAATTGAATTACATCCCTAGCCCTCCTTTTTTCCTTCCTTCCCTTCTGCTTTTCCTCCTTTCCTCATTCTTTCCTTCCTTTGTTTTGTCTCTGCTCCCACAGTACTCGGAATAGAACTTGGGCTGTGTGCATGCAAAGCAAGGACTCTATCACCAGGCCACGCCCCAGCCCTGTCTCAGATTTCTAAGAGTGCAGTCAGAGAAAGACCTTGCTCTTCTCACAGCCACGTCACAATGCTGAGCTCTATGAAGTTTGGTGCAAGCTCAGAACCCCATTTGGACTGTTGTTTTGTCTTCCTCCCTTCATATGTTACAGATAACCCACATCTTCCCAGCTTTACACCTAATGTCTCCTTTCTGGGTCCCAGGACAGAACACAGTTGGGGTTGAAGGAAGCAGCATGAGCATGCCTGCCTGCAGACTCTGAGCCCTGAGGAGTGATAAGAGAGATGGCCCCCCAGGACCTGCCCTGCATGGCCATGACCTGCTGTCTATAGCGGTTCCCTGAGAACATGCCATGTCATGCTAACCCTCCCGTACTCTCCCAATGTAGCATAATGAGGGTTCCTTGAACCCCAACAGCCTCTCCTTTAGGTCACCAACTACCATGAATTTAGCAGAACTTCAAGATGCCAGGTGCAAGCCGACCAGGGAAGTGGCACAATTAGGTGGACTTCTAAGCAGCATTCACTGATTCAGAGAGGCCTGATACAGACTCTCCTATGAGCAAGGCACGGACCTGGAAGAACCAGCAGAGAAATGCAATAGGTTCCCAGGAACCAGGCACACAGGGACCAAAGATTTCTAACTGTAGAGAACCTCTGGCTTGGGCGTGTTCAGGAAAAAGAGAAATGAGGGCCAAGGGACAGAAAGCACATGGGAAAAAGAAAGTGAAGTACAAGACTATAGACTGGGGTGAAGAAGAAGGAACAAATCACTGTTACTATGGAAACACTAAAGTGAAGAGAGGAGGCAGCCCTGGACCTCTTCCACCCACCCCCAAAATTCTTTTCCATTCTCAACCTACCTAGCATGGCCCTAAAGTGCCTGGGAACTGAATGCCTCTTAGAGACCTGGGTCTGGTACTAGCGGAGGAAGGCACTCAGGGCTTCTGGGGAAAAAGCTAGACTGGGAAGCAGAAAACATGTGGCTTCTAGCAGAATTACCCCTGGGTGTTTCCCACCCCTCTAGAAGCTAGAACAAACCAGCATCAGCCAGTCCACAGGCCAGCCTTACTACTGTAGTGAGTGAACGGAGGAAAAGAACAAGGAAGAGTGGAGAGCCCAGCCAAATGCAGATTTAGTTTATTTTCTCAATACATTAAGGGGTCAGAGATGACACCTGGAAAGATGGGAGACCAGTGGGGTTTGTGTTTGGTTTTTGCCTTCCTACCCTTTCCCCCCCATATTCTGAGGCCAGTCACATTATGCCTGAGTCTAAGAAACAGCCCTGGCCATTCATTTCTTGCTTCAAGACACTCCACCTCCTACAGAAAACACCCACAGGCCCCGCCCAGAAGGGCTGTGTTCCTCCATGGGTTTCTGTCCCTTGGCTGCCTCTCCATACCTCAGAGAGGCTCTAGACCCCTGGGAGGTCTCCTGCTTCAGAGGTTTAATTCAAACAGCTCCTGCCCTCTCGGGTCTACGTTCTCAGACTCAGCTCAAAGGAACCTTCTCTGTGTGGATCCTTCCCCAGCCCTCAGAGACGGAAGCTGATTATTCCCTTTGGTGGATCCTCAATGCATTTTGTTGCTCTGTCTCTATGACTGTTCATGAAGGGAGTATGTAGTTGGGAGAGCCTAGAAGAAAAGCCCAAAGGATGCAGAGTTCCCACCTCTGGAATAAGGCCATGAGTGAGTGAATGAGAAGGGAGAGGGAATAGAGAGAAGGGGTTCAGACCCTCCCATACACAATCTGCAGGAACTGCCAAAGAAGGCAGGGAGGTAATTCTGGGAGCCCTCACACGGGTCAGTGAAGTCAAGCAGACCTGGTAGACAGGCATCTTGACAGCACTGGCTATGGAAGTGTGCCTTGTATGCCTTATCAGCCTCTTTCCCGGCTGTTGAGAGGCTGGGGTTAGCAGATGGCAAAGACGATTTGGAACAGGTTCTGTGAGGGGCTGTGGAACAGGGAAGGGACAACTTGCTCTGCGTGCTGTATTCTGCTTTCCCTTACCCTCCTGAGAGAGGAGGTCTGCTTTTGCCTGGCAAGGGTCTATCTTGAGAACAAACAGAAGACACGTGGCTTCTAGGATTCATTTAGAGAGACTCCATATCCCTTGCCCTCCGGGAAAACTGGGGAGACGGGAGCAGGAGAGGTGGCGAGGGAGGGAGGGAGAGGAGAAGGGAGTAGACAGGGAGAAGGGGTGGGATAGGGAGGGGAAGTGAAACAAGGTGGGGAGGTAGAACCAACAATGGCTTACAAATCAGCTTGATTGGTTTGCTGGGTCCTCCCCAGTTCCTCCTCAGTTCCTCCTGTCTTCCCAACTCCCTCTCACACAGCACAGAGGCCCTCAGCAGACTGGGAGACCTCTTGGATTATAAAACCAGGACAATCCCCAAGGTCACAAGAGCTCTGACCCTCAGACCTCATCCTTCACCACCACATGGACGGATGGCAGGGTGTTCCGCTACTGCCTTCACCACCACGTGGGTGTAGGCATGTGGGCACACACACATGCACGGCCTCCACAAACCAGGTAAGATTTAAACAGGCACTTTCCCTCTAATCTGGGGGGTGGAGTGGGGCTGAAGCTTTCAGTCCAAGCCTGAGATAACCTACAGGCTCTCTCTGGGCAGACAGAGACCCCTGCCTGCTTTTTCTGGTGTTTACAGAACAATGAGAGGTTAAGGTTAGGCGCTGAAAGGCCTCAGCAAGCCTGCCCGCCCCTGCCCCAGGTGTGGCTCTGGGAGGTGGAGCCAGCAGCTGGGTCCTCTCTCCATTGGCTGGGCTCAGCAGGTAACTAGAAGCTTGGCTGAGAGGTGCATAAATAGTGAGACGTTGCCGCCTCCTCACCCCTGCCTTGGAAAAACCAGTTTCTCCTTTATTGTCTGTGGCCAGGCTCTACTAGCATGCCACCCCATCTCCTTCCCAGCTTCCTTCAGCCCCCGCGCCTCACTTTCTCCTGCTCTACTATTGTCTTTGACTGAAGGGAGGACCACGTGTCCGCTTCTCCAGGAGCAGCTTCTGCTCGGCCCAGGCTGCTGAGATGGGCACCCTGTAGAGTATAAGCTTCTTTCTTCCCCCACCTCTAATTCTTAAGAAAAAATACTTTTTCCCAAGACTTAAATTTCTTTCTTTCTTTTTTTTTTTACACCCAGGATTCTTCAATGATCTTTCAACTTGGTACTCTCCTAAGACAGAAAACGATGTCTTATTTTGCATCAGAAGTAAAGCTGAGCCCGACGTCCGGAGGTATAGGTGCTCCTAGGTACTTACAGGTGAGTCTGAAATCTCTGGATTTGGCGGGTGAGTGCTTAGATCCTGGGAATCTTAGGGTGAAAAGGGTAGAGCGGAGAAGGCGGTCTCCACTGGGAGTCAATCATTAACTTCCTTCTTTGTCTTCCTGAGGATTTCTTAGCTGCTGGGTCATAAATATTGGAGATAGTGGAAGCGGGTTCCAGGCAGCTGAACAGCAGCCCTGCCGATCTGTCTAGCTGCCTGGGATTGGCTCCACTAGAGGAATGTGTGACTGGCCGCCTGGTCGTGGGGTGCTGCAAGATCTGCTTCCTTTCTGGGGTTCTCAAGTCTGAGTTGGATTTTTATGGGGCAGTCCTGAAGGCAGCTGGAGAAGTAGTCACTAGCTAAAACATGAGTCCTGTTGGGTCTCTGACCCAACCCAAGGCTGCAACTGGCTAAGACAGAAGTCACTCGGGGATTACCTTGGTAGAGGGCTGCTGAGTGAAGGAGCTTGGATACTAGATGGTACTAGATGCTTGGGGCTCAGGGTGGATGGTGTCTGAGGATCCAGGTTCTAGACAGTAGCTGCAGGTCTACAGGGCCAGAGGGACAGATAAGGAAGGGCAAGCCTTTCCTGAGTGCCCCACCCCCACCGTCTTCATATGGCCTGTCACCAAGCCTTTTCTTCCCTGGGTCAGGATCTCAAATACGGATGAGTCCCTTTGTGGACTGAGTCGGGTAAGGAGGGTCCCAATAGAGAACTGACAAATGTCCCCCTTTGCTTTCAGAACTAAACTGAAATCCAAACAGAAGCCAAGACTCCTTCCATCTCAGAATACCTCCCACGGTGTCCTGCCTATCTTAGGCAAAGCCAGCAGACTGGTGTCTTTCTCCCCTTTGACTAGGAAGTGGGTCGAAGGCAGTGTGGGCCTTGAGTGCTCTAGGTAAGCAAAGCACACTTCGTACACCTGAGAAGTAAGTATTCACCAGAAGGCAGAGCAGGAGAAGACTCATGGACCCTCTTGCCCTCACCACACAGCATCCGTCCTTCTAGTGAGCCCTGTGCACATCCTAGTTTGAACCTAGGAAAGTGGGATTCTCCCTGTCCGTAGCTAGAAACCCCTGCTTTTGTGTGAGAGCCTATCTCAGAGGCCTGAAGCCCTGGGGGCTGAGAGGTGGAGCCTCTTTGTCAGGTCAGAACAGGCTCAGGAAGAAGAAAGTATTCCAAACAAGGCAGATCTGCCCCACCCACCCAGTCTGCATGTCTCTGCTTAGACCAGCCTTTTATGAGGCTTATGCTGAGCTGCAGACGAGTCTGAACACAGCACAGACGAGGCCAGTGCATTCCCTGTAGGCTAGTGCAGTCCCTGTGAATTTCCTGCTTGGTGGGCATTTTCTTTTGGGCAGGGGCAGAAAGTCCACAGGTACTACATGGCCTCCTGTTGTAGCTCAGTCTTTGAAAGCCAGCTAGCTGTATGCCCGCCTCCCTCTCCTGACCCTTACCCTAGGCTCACTGATTGTGTGCAGACCTGGGGAAAGACGTGTGGCTGTCGCAGGCTGGCTTTCCAAGACAAGTCTATGGGAAGAGAACCAAGAATTCTCCTTTCCACCATCCACCCGCGCCCATAAACGAGCCAGCTCCAGCAGAATCCTTATCCTCCCTCAGCTCCTCCTTAGTTTATCTTGATTTCACGTTGGCACACAGGCCTGAACTGGGCTGTTCGTGCCCTCACACGGCGGCTTTTCTGGAATACCTGTGCCCCTGCATTCTACCCCTTGGTAAGCAATGGCAGACTACATGTCTTCTCTAGACATCACCAAACATACCCAGCTCTGGTATGGCCTACACATAAAAAAGGACAGCCAGCATCCTAACTAGGGATACAAAGAGGGTAATACCGCAGCACGAGCTGTATCCCTCACCACGATCTAGCTCTGCGGTGAGATACTTAAGGGGTGGGTTGGATATTCAGGTCCTCACCATCCTCTAGGAGTGCGGTTGCAGGAGCCTGAAGGTCTTATCCGGGCCACACACAGCATGACAAGAGGAGGCCTGATAGACAAACAGTCCCAGACAATCCATGGATCCTCTTGTCCTTCATTCCACCGGAGTCTGTCTGATGCCAACCAGATTTCAGTGGAGTGAAGCGCAAGAGGCATGGAGCTGCCGGCAGTGAACCAGAGGACGGCATCAGAGCAGAGGCATTCTATGAAAAATGTGATCACTTCGCCGAAGGCGTCCTCTTGGAGAGGGCTGACAGCTGCAGACAAGAAGACGCTGCCGATGCAAGCTGTGTGGCCTTTCTTCCTAAAACTGATGCTTCAGGAATGTGTGTTTTCTGCAACTTAAAAGTTGCCTGTCTGCTGAGGAGCCTTCCTGACTGCCCTGTGCTGTCAATCTCCTGAGCCTGCTCCCCTTGTGGTTAAATCTCAGATAGGAACTCAAGGAGGCCCTGACTCCCAGACTCCCTCTCTCCTCAGGGACTTCAGGGACATAGCTGGGGCATCATTTGCAACCAGCCAGGGACCTTATTGCCCGCAGACTCCCCACAATGGCAACAAGGCCTGCAGATGGGGAACAAACCCCCGTTAAGATTATTTAAGCCTATTTAAATTATAATAAAATAAATGTAAATAAGAGTTAAAAGAAGGCAGATCTGATCTCTCTGACACTGCACGCCATAACTCAACACGCAGTGTAAATTCTGTAAAGGTTAATGCATTTAAACATATTTGACACATAAAGCTGCCAGATCTGACTTTAATCACTCACCAAGTGTAATTGCCTTTCCATGGGTCCCTCAGCACCAGAACATGCTTAAGACATGAGACTGTGTAGAAGTCTGGGATGTGATGGGGACAAACACCCTGGCTGTCAGGGTTTATGATTTGCTTTGATAGATTTGGCACTGATTTCATTGACTGTGCACCTTGAGTGACTGGTATTTTGTGCTTTTGTTTTGTCTTAAACAGCTCATCTCTCCTTCAGGGAAGGACATATAGGATTGGGGGGGTGGGTGGGGCATACATCCAAAGGAAGTCCACTTAGTATGAAGGACCTGCCCAGAGAAGTTCTCTATGAAATTGCCCTTTTTTCAACGGAGGGGTCTGCTTGAGCCACCTGGCTAAAAAGGCAAACCCTACACAAAGTCCACCAAAGGAAACCCAGCTTTCACCTATGTGAAAGGAGCCCTGTGTGGCCAGGCTCGACAGAGCCCATAGCTGTCTCTTCTCTTAGTAACTGAGTGTAAAGGCCACTTTGGAACCAAGACCCTGTGCCCTGAATGGCCTCCAGTGGCCTCTTCATCTCCCCAGGCCACCTACCCCAGCGGAATCATGAGCTCCTCATACTGAACCAGAGGAAAAAGCATTTATCTTAAACATCTTACCCTCTTCTAGTTATGAATGTCAAACTCAGCCCACCACCAACACTATACTGAGTCCCACAAAGGGGCGAGAAGACCAAGTCACAGGGATTTTCAAAAGGAAACCTGTTTACTCATAAAAATTATGTAGTGGATTGACTGGGGGGACCATGGCAGTCTGGGTATTGAGCTAGCCAACTGCCAAATGCCTTCTGTTCTGGTCTCAGCAAGAAATCCAAAAGCTAGAAGAAAGCACCAGACAGACACGATATATTTCCATGGTGGAGCCGCTTGAAGTCCACAGCCTGAGTTCTTTTCTAAAGAACAAAACACGGTTGTATGTTTCTGTGTAACCTGGCTCAGGAGGGACAAGGACCAGAGTGGCTAATAATGATTACAGAAGAGAAGTCTACAATCTAGTGAATGAGGCTGTAACCAAGGGCTCTGCCCCACATCCTGAATCCACCTGAATCCAGCGAGACTGAGCCTTCACATATCTGGCAATGAAGTCTGAATAGTCCACGTCCTCCCTCTGGCAGTACAGATTGCTGGTCCCTCATACAGAAACTAAAATCCCTGTGCTTGGCCACAGTAGCCTGTAACAGAGAGTGTGTGAGCCGAGAGCTACCAAGAACTTCCCATCCATCTTCCCCTTTGAGCCATCTGTCTTTGTGTTTCCTGTCCTGTCTGCAAAGTATAGTTTAGCACAAACATAGTGTTGAGGAAATAGTTTAATCAAAACACCCTTGCAACAGCAACAAAAAATAATATTACCCGCTTTCTGTATTCACAGTCTTTTATTGAAGAGAAAAACAAATATCATTGAGCCAAAACCAAGTAGACAAATATATACAACCACTGGTAATTTAATATTTTGTGCTAATGATATACACTGTAGATACAACCCAAGAGAAGTAAATTATGATCCTATCAATAATACATTGTGTCTGGGCTCTGAGTTCCCAGTGCACATGAAAATGTGTATTGGCAAAAAGTCTCCGAATATTAAAAGCTATACATATAATGAGGTGCAGGACGCAGAAGCTAGGGATTCCTTTAGCACTGTGTTCTGGAATTAGGGTCGTCGGTGGGGGAAACAGCTCATGCTGGCATTTCTGAAGCTGACCTTAAATGATGATAACCCACTACACCCTCAGCAGATCTCCAGGTGAGGAACAACCTGCCAGCTTGCAAGACTGCAGCCATGCAGTTCAAGTCATAGGAGGTGTCCAGTGTCCACCACGAGGCTAGAAGAGCTCCAGAGAGCCCCAGGATAGATGGTCATACCCGAGACAAAGACAGTGGCACTTTCCTCCTGCCTCTCCAAGGTGTGCAGGATCTTCTAAAAGGAAGGGAGCCAGGCGGGCCAAGGACAGGTAGGAGTCACCTGCCTGGGACGAGCAGGACTTTTAGAACTGTGAATGTCCCAGCCACGACAGTTTTTTCAGTTTGTCTAAATTTGCCCTTTGCTGCCTGCAGGAGATGCGTGTGACAGTCTTGCTTCAGAATGGGGAAGTATTTCTGCCATACTAACATGAAAAATGAGGACGAATTAGGTTAATGTCTGCAGGAACGCTAGTTAGTGCCGCTGTCACATACTGGTCTTTGACCTTCCCTGATTCAAAGAATATTGAGGGCAGGTGGGGCCAGAACTTCTTGTCTTGTTTTTAATCAGAGCCTGAAAGGAGAGTTTGAGGAGGGAGGGGAAGCTGTGAGGGCTCCGAAGAAGAATGCTGTGCCTGGAGATTGCAGACTCCAGCTCAGAGATGAAAGGGCCTGGTCAGACAGACACCAATTCCTTAACAGAAATAGAAGCTTCCTGAATTGTGGTGATTTCTCTAGGCTTTCTGGAGAGATCTGACTACGCATCAAAGAAGAGCAAGGCAAACAGTTCCTTTTGTCTAGAGATAAGAAGCAGCATCTGGAAGACTCTTCACACACACCCTGCACCCCTCCCCCCTTTATCCTCCCTACATCCCACACCTCTGAGTCTGCCTTTCCTAAGGAAGGGTGAGACACCTGGTGGGAAGTAGGGGAATTACATGATGGTGACCCCTCTGAGATGAGAGAATTAGCATAGACAGGTGCCTGCACACCCTGCAGGAAAGCAACACCAAAGAAGACCTTTGGCAGAAAGTGACTTCAATTTTGGCTGTGTTCAATTACATCGCCTCATTTTTCTGTGGAAAGTAGATGCCTGCCCAAAGGACTCACCAAGCTAAGGACCTGGGAGGGGCCCCTGCCAGGGGAATTCACAGGGGAGAAGTGATCACCGGGTAGACATCACAAATGCTGCACCCAGCGCTTGCTAGCAAGCAGCCCAGAGCTTCTGAGTCAGCGTGTGAGTGGTTAAGAGAGGTCAGATTAGATCTGGTGCCAATTTGATCTGATCACCAGACTCCAGGCCAGCCACTTAACCTCTTTGAGACCCAATTTCCTTATCTGTCAAGTAGGAATAACGACAATAATGTCAAGAGCTCGTGAAGAGCCAAACACTGCGTGCTTCATGTCTATAGCATAATTTAATGCCCCCAGCCATTAGCAGACACAATTGACATTTCAGGTTTACTGGTG